CATTTGTGAGACAACACTGATGGATGATTCATACATTCCCAGAAGGGCATGGCTGCTGCCCTCACATTGATGGATTCATGCCAATACAATAACAAATTGTCATTTGTACATTGTTGTACACCACCCTGAGTCTTGTTTGCACTGTAGACGGCAGTTTAGAATTTTAATTAGTAAATAAATAAATAAATAGAACTACCAAATTAATATGGTGAACAAGATGTCCAAAGTATTCTGATGGAACTCCAGGAAAGGACATGTCCTTTAATTAAAATAATTATATAGATTTCCATATTGTTCTTAATGAAGCTGCATCACATCCCACTATCTATTTTATATTCTTAATCCTTGCAAGGGACTGGGGTGAGGACTGCTGAGCTTCCCCACCCGATCTCTTGGCTGCTGGTTCAGTGGGGGGTGGGGGCGGTGGCAGCAAGGACTCCTGTTGGATTATCTTAGCTCAGCCAATGAATGATCTTGCTCAGCTCTTTTTCTTTGACCTTGACTTTCTTTCCAAAGTTTGAAGCACCTGATAATATAGCTCAGACCCCTAGGGATATCTGTGTTCCCTGTAATACTCACGAGAGGATATTTCTTCCTCATTTTGCCGCTGCCGGCCCAGCTCTCACACTGCCAGCACGGCAGGGACTGGGGTGAGGACTGCTGAGCTTCCCCACCTGATCTCTTGGCTGCTGGTTCAGTGGGGGGTGGGGGCGGTGGCAGCAAGGACTCCTGTGCCTCCCTGTCCAACTCCTAGTTGCCAGTTTGGAAGGCGAGCTTGCTGGCTCAGTAGGGGAGGCAGCTGGGACTCTCTTGTCCCCCTGCCTTACTCTTTCCTTCCTTGCTTAGTTGGGGGATAGTGAGGACCCACACACACCCTACTTTTTCCTTGCTGGCTCAAGGGGGACAGCAGTGAGGGTTTCTTCCCACTGTTACCACCTGTGAGCTCCTTCGAGGCTTCCATCTTGTTGCTAATGCTGGCTCACAATGTTTGCTGCTAGGCTTGCCAAGGCTCCCTCTCCATGATGCTGGTGAGCTCCATGTGGCTCCCGGACTCTGCTGAGGCTTCCTGAAGCCACCTGACACAGGAGGAGGAGGGACATAGGTGCTTTGTCTGTGCTTGTGTAGACAACACTCTTTTATTTCAAGGGAAATTTAAAGCTCCCAGTGTATTTTTTAAAAACATTTTCAGATTTATCTGCAAACCTGGGGGTGGGGGTGGGGTCTCTTAACTTTGCAGAAGAATCTGTTTAATGTCAGTGTGGCCCCAATCTGTGGATTTAGATACTCGTAGATGGGGCCAGACTTCACTATTAGAGAAACAGATTGGAAGAGTTCTACCCATGGTTATGAGTACTGGGAGCACAGTAGAGCCTCACACTTTTCCTGTCCCACATTAATTCCTTGTCCTTTTCATGATTTTGACCATCATATATAATGAAATATATCATTTCTATTTATTTTTGTTTAGGACATTAGTATACTCTCCTTTTCTGCTAACACAGAATTTCTTAACCTGGAGTTGGCAACTCCTTCCCACCCAACAGCCCACCTACATTTATCTGCTCCTCTGTCTATAGCTTTCTCTCTCCATCCCCTAGCAGTTCACAAACTGAATCAATTCTGATCAGTTCGTGAGCCATTTAAGGTTGAAAACCCTGCTTTCTGCCCTGTGTAAATGTGAGCCATTTAAGGTTGAACACAGATTGAAAACCCTGCTTTCTGCCCTGTGTAAAGCCGTAGGGAAAAGAAAGCAGGGGTTTAAATGGCTCCAAGCCATTTAAACCAAACAGCTGTTTTCCATGAACCACATTAAAATTCATGGAAGTCAGTGGTGGTTCTTCAGTTCACAAACATTGCTTCACAAACCACAAAATGGCCAAAATTTGTGATGAACTTTAGTTTGTTAACCAGTTCATGCCCATCCCTATTCACTATTAAGATTCAAGGAAATGCATTGTTTATATCATTGTTTGTGGAAGTCACAAATTAATACTACAAGATTATTTCACACACACAAGTAATGTGTAATTATTCCCACATGAATGTAACCTGGGTGCATGACCGAATGGAGGAAAACAAACCAGCCTTCAGTATGAACCACTTGATCACATGGAGATGGAAGTATCCATTATCATGATCATAGACACTTAGTTTTTATTTCCATGCCAATGTTGCCAAAGACATCTATGTAGTTTATTATCTACAGAGGGGATATGCTATGTAGTTCTTTGTTTCTGTTTGGAGATGTTACACTGAAATTTCTTTATCTGACAGGAATGTATGCTATAATAAGCTACATTAATGCAAGTCTCTGAAAAGTCTTCATGAGTGTTAAAAATCCTAGCCACAGTACTAAATTAAAACAGTTAACTCTGCACTTCTATCACCTACTGACATATCTCAAAGTGGATGGCATGGTAGAGAGCCAGGCAATATGCCAGCTCTATTTAGATGTAATTTTATTTGATTTAATTCATTTATAGTGACAAACCTTAATTTGTCTTTAGGAAAAATAGTCTTGGAAGTCCTCAGGCTGCCTTCTTCTCCCTTTGTGTGTAACTGGAAATTGGAATATAAACTAAAGTTCTGGTTCTGAACTGGAAAAAAAAAATCCACCTATGGTTTGTATTCTTTTGTCTACAAAACCAGAATTTCAAACTATAGTTTAATCCAACCAAAATTGTAAGACTGAAAATGAATTCATACATATTCTGTCTCTCTCTGCACATCAATATTCAGTCTCTTTTCTATGGTTCATTGTGTCTTTCAAGCAAAGTAATTTAGGCAAACTGTGCTTAATACATTTTTAAGTTAGAAATGCTGGATAATTCTATTCAGGAGGAGGAGGAACAGGAGAGGAGATTGGATTTATACCCCGCCCTTCGCTACCCAATGGAGTCTCAGAACAGCTTAAAATTCCTTTCCCTTCCCCTCCCCACAACAGATACTCTGTGAGGTAGGTGGGGCTGAGAGAGCTCTGACAGAAACTGCTCTTTCAATAACAGCTCTAACAGAACTATGGCTTGCCCAAGGTCATCCAGCAGATGCAAGTGGAGGAATAGGGAATCAAACCTGGTTCTCCCAGATTAGAGTCCGCACACTTAATCACTACACCAAACTGGCTATCACTTTAAGATATATGCAACCTCAGTTTTAGAAAATGATATCTTCTCATAATAGTGTATGGAATGAGAGGAAAGTACTGAGAATGGAAATTCTGTGATAAGAGGCATTTAAACAAAACTACAAAACTGAAATTTTATCCATTGAGAAATATACAGCAATCTGATTCAAATAACAAATTGTCACAAAATGAAGCATTATCAAATTTGACAAAGAAACAGCAACAAAGAATAAAAAAATAAGACTAACTTTGAAGCATCAGCTACAAAGAATTTTATATTACGGCCATCTTAATGGATATGTCTTTTGAAAATCAGCTCATCACAAAGATGTAGTAAATCCAATGAAAATAAAATATTGTGTGGTATGTTAATTTAAAAGGCAGTCTGATGTCTAACCGTACAGGTTACACAAAAATCATATTGCATAGAGCCTTCAGTGTGGGTCTACAGAACAACAACAAAAAATCTTGCTCTGGAAAGCTGTTATTTCTTCCACTGAGCTTGTTAATCAAACACAAAATCTTCAACGTGCATGTAAGATGATCAGGTGCAAATGAAGCCTAGATCACTGTTCCTTTAACAACCATGAGAAATAACTGGATATAATCTTTTCATTCCTGCATGACAAACTTCATTCCCAACAGAACTATTAATGGTAGACAAGCCCCATATAATTTTTCATCTGACATCCTAAGAACATGAGTGTGGCTCACTAAGTTAAGGATAGGTACTGCTACAGCATGCATTCTACTAACCATGCAGTGCTTTTATGTAGTTATTTTAAAACACTGACAGCATTTTGCATTAAGAAATTAATAAGAATTATCCAGAAAGAAGACTAACAATTAGTGTTCTTCCTACCTTCCTCTTGGCAAGTCGTTATCATCTTTTTTCCAACGAACTGTGGGCTGAGGATCACCTTGTACCTGACATCTGAATTCTACAGTTTCTTCTTCCAAAACCACCTGGTTAATCGGTCTCCTGAGAAATGTGGGTCGTTCTTGAAAACAAAAAATCCAAATTTAAAAAGTAGATTGATTAAATTTAAACAATTCAATTCACAGCAGACACAGTGTCTGTGCATGGGATTCTAACTGAAACAGTAGATCGGTAGTTTTCTATAATCTCTGAGAGAGGACAGGATTTCAGAAGTCTTTTTTATTTATTTGCTATCACCTCAACTGGTTATGAGGATCAAGTGTGACTCACCTTTTTCTGAGTGTATATATGTCATTAAAGCAAAAACTCAAAATATTACAACATATAGTTCAATGAAAAGCTCACAAGTAAAGAAACAAGCCAAGAAGTACAGAGTAGAGGTACCACAGAGGCAGAAATTGACATAGCCATTATTTCCATTGCATTATTTCTACAGGTCTCTCAGTGTAAGTAATTTCCATTGTTGTTTTCTGCCTACTTATCACTCAGATAGTTTCCTGAATATGTCCAACAGTTAATTATATGTCTATAGAGCGACCAGAGTGAATGCCATTGCCAATGCAATTACCATTCTTTACGTGAGATTAAATGGATTTGAATCACTTGCATAATTTGGTTTCTATGTTAACCTCTCAGGAGACAAAACAACAGGGCTTAATTATGAGAAATAAATGGATATAATCTTTTCATTCCTGCATGACAAACTTCATTCCCAACTGAACTATTAATGGTAGACAAGCCCCATATAATTTTTCATCTGACATCCTAAGAACATGAGTGTGGCTCACTAAGTTAAGGATAGGTACTGCTACAGCATGCATTCTACTAACCATGCAGTGTTTTTATGTAGTTATTTTAAAACACTGACAGCATTTTGCATTAAGAAATTAATAAGAATTATCCAGAAAGAAGACTAACAATTAGTGTTCTTCCTACCTTCCTCTTGGCAAGTCGTTATCATCTTTTTTCCAACGAACTGTGGGCTGAGGATCACCTTGTACCTGACATCTGAATTCTACAGTTTCTTCTTCCAAAACCACCTGGTTAATCGGTCTCCTGAGAAATGTGGGTCGTTCTTGAAAACAAAAAATCCAAATTTAAAAAGTAGATTGATTAAATTTAAACAATTCAATTCACAGCAGACACAGTGTCTGTGCATGGGATTCTAACTGAAACAGTAGATCGGTAGTTTTCTATAATCTCTGAGAGAGGACAGGATTTCAGAAGTCTTTTTTATTTATTTGCTATCACCTCAACTGGTTATGAGGATCAAGTGTGACTCACCTTTTTCTGAGTGTATATATGTCATTAAAGCAAAAACTCAAAATATTACAACATATAGTTCAATGAAAAGCTCACAAGTAAAGAAACAAGCCAAGAAGTACAGAGTAGAGGTACCACAGAGGCAGAAATTGACATAGCCATTATTTCCATTGCATTATTTCTACAGGTCTCTCAGTGTAAGTAATTTCCATTGTTGTTTTCTGCCTACTTATCACTCAGATAGTTTCCTGAATATGTCCAACAGTTAATTATATGTCTATAGAGCGACCAGAGTGAATGCCATTGCCAATGCAATTACCATTCTTTACGTGAGATTAAATGGATTTGAATCACTTGCATAATTTGGTTTCTATGTTAACCTCTCAGGAGACAAAACAACAGGGCTTAATTCTGCACACGAAATAAAAGTATTTTTCAAACAGAATTTAATCAAATCTCATTCCAGAGCAAAAAAGTTTTTGAAAGCATTGCTTGCTTTTTACAGAGCTCTGTCCATAAATTGTGGTGGTGTCAACAGTATTCAACACATAAATTAAAATCACAGCCATATAGAACAGGTCTAATGTAGCTGTTTTATAAGATTCAGCTGAGTAAATAAAGTATCCTTTCCCCAGACTTTGTTTCTGTGGTGAATAGTAAAAGTCTTTGAAGTGGGCTATAAAATAGGTCACGGTTGTAAAGCAGGAGTGTTCAGGAACTGGAATGACAGGGCCAAGAGTGGAATGACAGCCCCGGTGTGGAGCAGGAGTGTTCAGGAACTGGAATGACAGGGCCAAGAGTGGAATGACAGCCCCAGGGTGTGCCAGGAGTGTTCAGGAACTGGAATGACAGCCCCAGGGTTCAGAATATTTTTTTTCCAGTTTTTCCTCCTCTAAAAACTAGGTGCGTCTTATGGTCAGGTGCGTCTTATGGTCCGAAAAATACGGTAAATTAAAATCACAGCCATATAGAACAGGTCTAATGTAGCTGTTTTATAAGATTCAGCTGAGTAAATAAAGTATCCTTTCCCCAGACTTTGTTTCTGTGGTGAATAGTAAAAGTCTTTGAAGTGGGCTATAAAATAGGTCACGGTTGTAAGTCATCTCAACTGTTTGGAATATTGCTGTTATGACCTTTATGACTTCTGAATAAACTTTGCTTAAAGTTATAAATGTGACTAGTTATTGGATAGGCACATTCAGACACCCATGTTATGATTTAGACTTCCTTTATTGAGTGCAACAACGTCTTTCAGAAATTGCTTCTATAAGAGTGAATATGATCCTACTTTTGCCTAGGTTTGAAAGCTGGTGACCCACAGCTTAGCCTTTGTAGTTACTTTCTCCTTATTTAATTGTGCATATGTTCCACAGAACTTATTAGAAGATATTATTGGTTTCAGATACTACTTTTGCATATCCCTCAAGGGAAAAAAATACTTAGAGTGTTAACATTTAAGTCACAAGACTAAACTGGTTGACTGAAGGCTATGACATGTTCTGAACAGTACAGACCAACTCAGACTCAAGGCTACATTCTTGTCCATGACAATTTTGTTGCAATGCATAGTCTGTAATGGAGTGCTACATACACTACAGCACTGACACTGGGACTGTATACTAAGAGTAGTATATAAATTAAATAATTGATGCCTCTCTAACACAAACAAAATATGGGGAGATTTCTATTTCTTCTTCTTTATAGGAATGGGTGGGGAGGGAGAACGCTCACATTTACACCAAATACTGAGAATATTGCCCTTAACTATGTGCACTGAAACAACTATTCTCATTTTAAAAACAGGCCAAATACAAAATGAAGAGCTGTTCACAGACAGCAAAACATTCTTAATGTAAAAATATTTTAATATTATTCGATAATAGTCAAAATTTTCTATAAAAACTCCAAACTCATCTCTTTAAAACACTTCTGCTTTTCCATTTCATCTGGTTGTGTTTATCTATAGCTCTGTTCATAGTTTTAAAAAGTCTTCTGTATACAGTTTCAGTCCTGGTCTCCCTGCTCTTCCCACTGGACTCCTAGTAACCACCTTACTTAGTGGTATTCATTTTCACCAGAGGCGATGCCTCAAGCTAAATTCACTGCATGGAGGTGTGCAGACCTTGATGACTGACATGCGAGAACTGATTTTCAGTATTCGTAGAAACCATTTCCAAGACCAAAATAATGGGGGTGTAAATATTAGAAAAGAAATATGTAAAAATTCATTAAAAATAGGACAGAGGTATACATATGAATTTCTTCCTTATTTTTAAAGAATGATTTACTCAGCAACTGACTTTCTTCTGCCTTATTAAGCACTTAGAAAAAAGGCAAACTTTCTACTGCCGAAATAACAAATACTTATCATTACTTCAATGACAGTCCATACAGACTTAAGAAGTTAGAACATAACAGGATTAGATTTGAGTAACTTCACATAGGATTACAGTGTGGATTTATAATGAAACCTCCACATGATGATTCTAGTACACTTCTGTGAGATGAGTTCCTTATGTTAGAGTGCCAGGTACACAAACCTTTAACAAAGTGATTTCAATTTTTAATATGAGGTTATTTCATACAAACAGCATATTTTTGTGTCCCTGTGTACTGGGAGTTCTAGCATGACATTCATTGAAGATTAATGCCAACCCCAAATTGAAGAATTTATTACAAATGCACACTCATAGTGAAAGCTAAAAACCTCAGCCTCAATTGGCCTACAATCACTGGGAATACTCTGAAATACTGGCTAGAATCTGAATTGGATCTTCATAAATTCTAAATTCATCCTATGCCAGTGATATGATAACATCACAATATAAACATATAACTTGTGAATTAGCTGTAAAATTTATGTTGACATATGCCTCTGGCTTTTTTGAAAAACAATGACAGCTGTATCCATTAAACTATAACAATAAAGCCATATATGATTTTCTGGTTATATTTTGATTCGTAATTTTGTTCATGCTTCCTTTTGTTATCTGTTTCTTCTGATATTCTTGAGGACTGACTATCCATAAGAATTGTGTCTGATTTCACCATTATTTTCTGGATTAGTCTTTTTTCTGCTCAATCTATGACAAAAATATGACTGACTGTACACTCTGGAGAGATGGGGGGGGGAAGTGTAGCAACCTGTGAATCTCTGTGAATGCCACTGGAGGAAAGGGCCAAGAACTACACAAGGATATCCATCTATAATTTATGGCTGGCAAGTGGTGGGATGTTTGAGTGCAGGTAGACTGGCAGGAATGGTTTCACATGATACTGTAATAGTTTCACATGATGCTGCAATATCAATTTTGGCTGAAAATCTGGAAGAGCTTTCACCACATTGCACAACACTCCAGGAACTCCCATGATCTCTATGGTTTTTACCAGAGTTACAGGTGTATTCCTAGAGTATTTTGCGATGCATTGCTGTCTGTGGTGATCTCGCCTTCTTCCCTCCCTCACATATGGAATTTTCTCTTTACTCCTTTCTTGCTTGCTGGGCAGCCCGTACATCTATTTTCTTATTATTTGTTAATCTATGGTTGTCACACCCTGTCATGTCATTATACAAAAAGTCTCTTATTTTGTGATATTTTTAATCTCCTGACAGTTTTTGATGATTATATAATGTATTTTTGGATCTCTTTTAATTGTTTTATGCAATATTTTATATTGTTATAATTTTTAACTATACTGTGGTCTAACCTTGAGACCTTTGGTCAAATGAGCTAATAAATAAAAGGAAAAGGATTTTGATGCTGGCCCAGCCCAGGGACTTGAGGGAGGAGACAAGATCACCTGCTAATATTCTACTCCTGTAATGCCACATGAGAGGCTTTTGAAAGTTGAAATAAGTCTGAAATAAAATAAAGTTTGAAATAAAATAAAAATATTTTATTTAACTTGGAGGGGGAAAGGTCAGGTGGAATCAGAGGTAAGATTAGAGGTGAACCGATAATAAAAACTGACATAACTTTGTAATCACACTAAATCCAGCTAAAATGTTGCCAACAGGTATGTGTTTTTGCTTTTTAACAAGGTTTTTGAAACTTTGAGGAGAGAGGCTTTCTTTTCAGATTCAACTTTAACTCACAAGCATAGGTTTCTGAGTTTCACTGATATTTCACATTTAAAAGGCAGGAATTTACAACAAACTTCCCAAAATCCTTCTCTCTGCACAGAAAAATGATCACTCCTATTTTATGAGCTATCTTCCTTTTCACTGGGCAGGGGTTACTTCTCTTGACTATAAGTTCTGTCCCTTTTTGGGTTGAATGGGGATCTTCTGGGATCCTCTCACTCTTCTTTGCCTCTTTCCCAGTCCTCACTCAGTACTAAACTCTCACTTCTTCAACTGTTAGTTCTTAACTAACACTCTCCACAGAATTCCCTTTGAATAGCCTGTCACTTAAAGGTTCTCAGTCTCTGTGAGGCATTAACCCTTGACAGTCCATCACACAGGCACTTCCTCTTTTGAGGCTGGAAATGACATTGCAGCATCATATAATTCTGTTCCTTTCCCCGTTTACTCCCACTGCTCATTAAAACAGCAGTGAGGACTGAGTGACAAAGGGCAGGAGGACAGCCTAAAAACAGCCCCTTCTCAAAGTCATTGAAGAAGCTACAATGAGTGTGGCATAGGGTTACCAACTTCATCCAAGTTAATTTCTTGATATCTGGGGGTGGTGCTTGGAGAGTAGGGCTCCCAGCTCTGGGTGGGAAATACCTGGAGATTTGGGGGTGTGTGGATCCTGGGGAGGGCGGGGTTTGAGGTGGAAAAAGGACCTCAGTAGGATACAATGCCACAATCCAAAGCAGCCATTTTATCTAGAGGAACTGAACTTGATCAGTTTATCCCTACTGGGGAGAGTAGAGTTTGTGGGGGATGTGATGCCACAGAGTACATCCTCCAAAGTTGTTATTTCTTCCAGCAAAACCAAGCTCTGTCATATAATTTTGGGAGAATTCCAGACCTTATGTTAAGATTGGTAACCTGAGTGTGGCATTTATGATAGAGTTAAATGTCTTACATTCAGATCAAAACCCTGTACTACAAATGAGATGCATACTACAGACATTGTAATGTGAAGACAAGGCCTTTATTTTCAGTGTTTAAAATGCTAGAATAACAAAGCTTCTTTTCAATGGGATTACTTCAGGAAGGACATTTTGAGGGTCTGGCTTTTTAAATTAGCTTCAAATAACTGAGAGCATTTGGAAATCCTGACAGTGGAATAAATACATATTTCTCAATATAAACTATTTGGATAGATGGACTTTTGAGCCCTGCAGCTAATACTTAAAGATACTGAATTTTCTATGTAACAAAGGAAGATTATGATGAAACTAATATTTTCCATAGTTCTTTAGTACACATGCATTCATATTTTGAATTCCCCTCCCCCGAAATTCATTTAACAAACCTTGGAATTGTCAGTGGTCTGCAGTTCTTGACTACAGTTTACTTAATATTTACACAGAAAAATTTAGGAAATTTTAAATGTAAAGAAGTAGCTTCTATTTCAGTTAAATACATATATTTTGAAAAGTCCTAACCTTAATCCAGTAGTTATAATGGAGACATTAATCCAGTATTAATATTCTGTTTAATGCAGCAGACCTATTCAGTACTGAAAAAGCTATCACCTAACAGGATAAGCAGGCTACAGGAGACCATCACAAATGAAAGATTAATACAGTTCAGTCTCAAACAGTTATACCAATCTATGTTCACTGAAGTCAACGGGCAATACGGGTGTAACTCTGTTTAGGACTGCATAAAGTTTTTGAAGTATTTGATATTTTAAAAGTAAACTTGGATCTTTGGTTTAAATAATGCATTTGAATGGGAAGTTGTAGTTTGATCCACATCTGTATTTATAAAATGTGTCCATGTTCCATTCAGTGTATTAGGATACCCCAAAATAGATTATCAGCTTTCTCTGTTCCTGGGGTTCACTGTAAGATGCATTAGAGAAACAATATGAATACTTGACAATTCTCAAATTGTATGAAGAAAGGTGGCAGATTAAAATGTAGAAATAATATATTTTTTGCAATAAAGTACTTTTTTCATTTATTTTTTTTTGGCCTTATTCAAGAACCCTGCATTGGCACATAAAGCAAGCCTACTAATGGTGTGCAGAAATGTCACCACTGAGAGTTCTGCTACAGTAAGGTTTATAATACTATCTATTATGTCGTTGCTAATAGGATAGATTTAGATTTAAGATCACTCCAGCATCTCTCCCTTTGTATTTAACTCTTCTCATGGGGGAAATGAGTCCAGTTATTCATTTTGTTGCCTGGAATGTTCCGCTTGTGAAGCTCCACCAACCTATATATTGGCTGGATTTTCAATCAGATGAACAACAAACCTAACTGCAAATTTTAAAGAGCAACCTTTTTGGAAAGGGACAGTGTGATAAAAAAATCTAGACTTATGGAAATTATATCTTGTGAGTCTAGACCTAGTTCTTTGCTTATTGTTATAAAATGTTTCATCTACCAGCATAAAAAATAATTTAAACAAGCTACATGACTCTGAAATAAGGCTGCCAAGCAACTAGAGGGTACACTGCCCCTGAGCGCCTGAAAAATAAATAAAAATGGCTGTCAGGTCAAAAGTGTGACATCATTTGCAAGGCAAAACCTGGACCTGTCAGCCCTCTTTAGAAATTATTGGAAACTTTACCATAGAGTTTCTGGGAATTCCTAGAGAATTTGACACCTTGGGTTGCAAGGTCATGCCTGGTTGTGAGGCCAAGCCTGGCCACCAAGCCTGACAACTTTAGCATGAAACTCTGTAGCACAATCAGAGGTCATTTCGGGGGGGATCGCGGGGGATCACAGTTCCCCCAAGTGAGGTACGGGGGCGGGGCACATGACGAAGCCCCGCCCCCTGCTTCCGGCCGCCCCGCTTCCGGCCCTCATTCAGCCAGGAGGAGGCAGGAGAAGAGGGAGGGTAAGTTGCTTTCTCCCTGCCTCTCCCCACCCCTTCCTGCCTGGGGCCAGGGAGGGCCTTCGTGGGGCTTCCCTGCACTCCCACCGGCCTTGCAGGTTCACCGCCAGGCCCCTCATGGGGCTTGGCAGTGGAGCTGCAAGGCCGGCGGCGGCCGGGACCGTTGGGGGCGGGGTGTGTGGCCTTATGACACACTTCCGGTGATGTCGGGGGGTGTGGCCTTATGACACACTTCCGGTGATGTCAGGGTGTGTGGCATATGCTAATGAGTTATGCTAATGAGTTCCCCTAGCTCTTTTTCTACGAAACGACCCCTGAGCACAATCTATCAACTGTTTTAAATGTATCTCAATTATATGTGATAATTTTTTACTGGCAACACTATCATACTGATTGGTCGTCAGTCGCCTGGATCTCCGAGAAAATCCCCGAGAAATGGAACAACACAACGTCCGCCGGTAAGAAGAGGACAAGACCATGCCGCACGGGTGCTGTTAGGGCTCCCCCCCCCCGAAAGATTGTGCCCCTAGTTAGATATTAACTACATAAATATATGTAGTGCCTGTAAACCGCTCTGAGACCCATTAGAGGTCATGAGCGGTATAGAAATTGAAGGATAAATAAATAAATACTGGATTAAGGTTCCTGAATGTATGCATCTGTACAGCTATATCTGAGTGTGTTCAAACTGCACAAGGAGGGGGGAAAGTGATATTCTATTCACACCCGTACTAAAAATTAGAATTCTTCAGATTTCTACAACACTGTAAATTAGGAAATGTTTTTCAAAAATAATTGCAGATATAAAGGCCTAGCAAACATATGTTTTAAAAGTTTATTTACCAAAAACAGTCAGCTCTGCTGGATCACTGTCCCGTTCTCCCACCATGTTGGTGCCAACACATGTGTACATTCCCGCATCACTCTTTCTTGTGTTTGAAATCATAAGTTTCCCACCTCGTATCTGTATTAATCAGAAGGAGAATGCCTATACATTTTAATATACTTTTATTTAAGTTTCACATCTCTAGACTTGACCCCCCCAATAAAGTATTATACTTTGCAGCATTCTGTCTGTATAAAAATACTTTACAATTCTTTATTCATCTCATAAGATCATTGTCTGTAGGTTTGAGTAGGAAACATTGACTTGCTCAGAAATAAAGCTAAGGTCTCAAGAAAGATCTCCCAAGTTCTAACTGATGTATCTACACTGGCCTAAAATCTTCACCTTTGTTGTGTCACAGGTAGACTAGCAATTTTCTTAGAATGACAACCTGTGGCTTTAGCCACAGGTGTCACCTTTAAACAACACTACAAACTGAAAGGAAAATAACCAACGATAAGAAACCTAGCAAAACACATCATTTTTAATGCACTGTAGTTAAATATCCTTAAATAGCACTATCTTTCAGCCAAACTTATCTGACAGGGTTGTGTGTAATAAAATAGTGGCTGCTTTGAGGCTACTTAAATACAATGCATTTAACTATCACAAATAGTAACATTCAGGGCTTTTTTTGCAGAAAAAGCCCAGCATGAGCTCATTAGCATAATAGGCCACACCCAACAGCAGAAACTCATAAGCATATCAGGCCACACCCCTGACATCACAGCTCATTAGCATATCAGGCCATACCCCATGCCTTCCCTTAGCTTGCCCGGGCACCCCGCAGCTGCAGGGAGCCTGGCCAAGCTGGCCCTTGGACAGGCTGGGGAAGACATGGGGAGGCATTTAAATGCCTCGCCAATCCTTCCAGGGCTCCCCCTGGCCCGCTTGTCTTGGAGACGCTGGGGGGGGGGTTGCTCTCCAGGCCTTCCCTCTGTAGCTATGCATGCAGATGTTTTGGCTGTAGTGAGTGTGGCCAACTCTGAAACCAGCCAGAACAACGTTCCTGTGCGTTCCTGCCCAAAAATAGCCCTGGACTAACATTTGCACAAGGTTAGGACTTTTGAAAGCAGTTCAGGTAAACACAACTATGTATGGGTCTGAGCTGCAAAACTGTTCTGTTCCTAAATTACACTAAATCCAGCTAGGGTTTCCAGGCCCCAGTTGGGTACGATGGATCCCTGATCCTAGGCCCCTCTATCCAACACCAATCAGCTGGAAAACTAGGCCTAGGCCTGCATTGCTGGCAATGAGGCAATGTCATTTCATGCACTGGAAGTGAAGTCATTGTGTTGCTGGTGGTGCAGGGGTGCTCTGGTATTTGAGTAAAAAAACTCTGTGATAAAAATGAGTTCTACCATAGAGTTTTTGTCCAGATACCAGAGTGTCACCATGTCACTGTGATGATGTCACATCCGGTGCATGCTGAAAGTGATGTCACTAGCTTAGGCCTCTTTTTGCTCCTGCTAAGCCCCCCCCCCCTGCCAGTTGCCATGGGGGACCTGGCAACCGTGAATCCAGCATGAATGTAACCTACTAGCAAACTGTTAGAGGTATTATCAGGTGTCTTTTTGCCCTGGAAGCCTCTGGAGCGCTGCTCCGGCAGCCCGTGTGGCGGCAAGCCCCGCCCCTGGGTCCCCCGAGCCCACGCAGGAGCGCTGCGGCTCGGGG